TGATTGAAAGCAATACCAAGCACCACAGAGTCCCCCCCAGTCACACCAGGAATCTAACTTTGTGTCCTGATTGTGTGATTTTCGTATTTTTATCGTCCACTCCTTGATCGCAGATGAATGCCGGTTTGATGCGGTCGATTGAGATTCGTTGAACTTTCCCATTTATTCGATGATCCATGAACTTTTCGTGACGATCAGCTATTTCGTACGGACCTTCATACGGTTGCACAAGTGGTTTCTTCACAGCATCTATTCGCACGAACACGTGACTGCACTTTTGGAGTTCGTGATTTACAAATACAGCCGGTTTGACGTGATGGTTTGGGTCAGCAGGCTTCCATTTGCGCATAGTGGATTTCAGTTGTTTTGCAAATTCAGTGCGATCGTTATATTCGTCTGTTGACTCAAAATATTCTCCGGGTATACGCAGCGTCTGTCCATAAAGCAACTCTGCTACCGAGCATCCGAAATCGGATCGATAAGCCGTTCGTAGTCCAAGCAAGATTATAGGAAGTTCAGCAGTCCAATGTTTTTGACTCACTGCCATTATGGACGCCTTGAGTGTTCGGTGGAATCGCTCCACCAAACCATTTGACTGTGGATGGTAAGCTGTCGTTCGAACATGTTTTGATCCTATCGCTCTTGATAACTCACGAAAAAGGTCCGACTCGAATTGCCTTCCCTGGTCTGTCGTTACAGTCTCAGGTATTTCGAAGCGTGCAATCCACGTATCGACAAATGCGCGAGCCACTGTTTCGGCGGTCATATCGTGTAATGGAATCGCCTCCGGCCACCGAGAATAACGGTCTATGATTGTTAACAGATAACGATATCCATTCGAAGGGGGCAGCGGACCCACTAGGTCCATGTGCACATGACGAAATCGGCTATCCGGTAGGGGAATCTTTTCGATTGGTGCTTTCGTATGTCAATGAACCTTAGAACGCTGGCAGGATAAACAGTTCTGAACAAATTGCTTGATGTCCTTATTCATGTTTTTCCAAACAAATCGATCGGCAACCAATCGACGATTAGAGCGAATTCCCGGATATGCTAATCCATAGATGTGTTTCAGCACTGCCTGGCGATGTTGCAAGGGGATGTACGGCCTTACCTTATTTTGTGAAACGTCGCAATACAAGGGTACAGATGCCAGGGGGGTCTTCCGAGGTTCCAGTTTCAGTGAACTTGATGTTAATAGAAGATGCTTCAATTCGACGTCCGCCTGTTGGTCTTTGGCAACCGTTTCGTAATCAATTGCCATAGGAACGTTGATTGCTTCGATTCTTGACAGTGCATCCGCAACAACATTCAATTCCCCGCTGATATGCCGGATATCGCTGGTGAATTGGGATATATATTGTAGATATCGTTCTTCGTGAGGCAATCTGGAATTTGGACTTGAAGTTAACGCTGTTGTGAGTGGCTTGTGGTCGGTGAATATAATGAATTTCCTTCCTTCAAGTAGGTGACGAAAGTACTGTACGGACATTTTCATCGCAGTAAGCTCCCTACCAAACGTTGAGTACTTGAGCTGCGCTGGCAAAAATTTTTCGGAGTAAAAGCCCAATGGCTTCCACCGTCCTTCGTCTAACTGCTGGAGAACCGCACCTGCTGCTGTGTTCGACGCGTCGATGAGCAAACTTAGCGGTTTTTTAGCATCGGGAAAATGCAGCAATGTGGCGTCCGCTAACGAAGTTTTACATTCCTGGAACGCTTTTTCGGCGGTTTCTGTCCATGATAGCTTCCTGGAATCGTTTTTTCTGTTGTCTGGGATAAGTCTCCGTAATTCGATCTGGGTGTCAGTGGCATCAGGAATAAACCGTTTATAACTGTTAACCAGTGCGAGAAACCTTCGAAGCTCTTTGACAGTCGTCGGAAGTGGAAATTTGACGACGGCATCGACGCGATTTGGAAGTGGACGTACTCCATCCTTGCTAACCAGGTAACCAAGAAATTCCACACTTCGTTCCGCAAAATGGCTCTTGGCAACATTTATCACAAGTCCGTAAGATCGGAGTCGTTCGAACACTGCTCGTACGTGCTGATAATGTTCCTCCTCCGTCGACGAAGCTATGCAGATGTCGTCTACAAACACCACAACAAAATCCATATCGGCAAACACCTGATGCATAAATCTTTGGAAGGTTTGGCTGGCGTTGCACAATCCGAACTGCATCCTCGTAAATTCGAAAAGCCCGAACGGGGTTATGACGGCCGTCTTCGGAATATCTGATTCTTCCACGGGAATTTGATGGTACGCCCTTTCGAGATCCAGTGTGGTGAAAATGCTTTTGCCCTGAAACGTATTCAACAGGTCGTGGATATGTGGTACGGGATAGCGATCTGGAACAGTTACCTGGTTTAAAGCACAGTAATCACCGACGAATCTCCACTGACCGTTCTTTTTCGGGACGCAATGGAGAGGACTAGCCCAACTGCTGCTAGACGGACGGCATATACCCAGCTCACTCATCACCTGGAACTCCTTCTTAGCAGCGTCTAGTTTGTCTGGGGCGAGGCGACGACACTTGCTTGCTATGGGAGGCCCTTTCGTTTGAATGTAGTGGGTGACATCGTGCTGGATCGTTGTTTTAATTGTCAACGTCACTTCTCGAAATTCAGTTAATAATTCTCGGAAAGGATGATCTAGGGCGACCACGGTTATGGTGTGAACAGTTGTGTCTATTATACCCCCAATAGAGGATAATTTAGTAAGTCCGTCAATCAACCGTCGGTGTTTAAGATCGACGAGGATTCCGTACGACGCCAGAAAATCTGCTCCAATAATCGCAACACCTACATCACCAATCAAGAAGCGCCAATTGAATCTCCGACGTAGACCAAGATCGACCGTGAGAAATCGTTTGTCGTAAACTTTAATTCTGGAACCGTTTGCAGCATGGAGGTCGAAAGGTGCTGTTCCATTCGAACGCTCACGAATTGAAGCTGGGAGAATCGAAAAATCCGAACCGGTGTCGATAAGAAACTTTGTGTTGCTGGTACGATCGAATATCAAAATACGGCGACTTTCCGGAGCTCCGTCCACCCCCGCCGATTCGGGTGAACGGGAGTTTAGTTTTTTTGGTTACTAAACTGGCACGGGTCTCGACACTTGAGAGCGCGACCACCGAATTTGCGATGAAACCAGCATATTTCGAAATCGCTTGCATTTCGACTCGAACGTGATGTCGAACGGCTACGGGATGAGCGGTTTGCCTTGATGTGCCTAATTTCGGTAGTGAGAGCCGCGATTTGGCCTCGCAATTCTTCCATATCGTTGTTTCCAGTGGTAATCGACGCAGCTGCGACGTGGGACAACGAAGATTCCAACATTTTGTCGGCTATTTCTGCCAATTTACCGATAGTTCCGTCACTGATGGTGAGAATGGCTTTAACGTTTGGGGGCATTCTCTGAAGAAACAACATTTTCAAGAGCTCATCGGTTACGTTTAATCCTGCTGCCAGCTCTTGCATTTTTGCGAGCATATGTGTTGGACGCATATCACCCAAATCGCAGGAACTCAGCAAACGTTCCAACCTTCCTTCTGCAGACACTTGAAAACGCGAGATCAAACGATTCTTCACCGTAGTGTACTTATTTTCCGCCGGCGGATTCGACACTAAGTCCGTTACGTGGTTACCGATTGGTCGATTTTGGTCACAATGTGATAAAATTTCGTATCGTCTCTAAGAACATTCACGAGGGCAAACTGAGCCTCTGCCTGTGCAAACCACATGACAGGATCGTTCTTCCAAAAGTCCGGAAGTTTTACGGCGACGGCAGCGTTTTCGTTCGGGTTTGCCATTTTCGTTGAAGAAATGTATGGAAACGTTATCCAGTCGGTTCTTCTCCGCCGGGGTCACCAATGTGGGGCACGAACGCGGACCGCGAATAAATAAAACGAATAAAACTTGTTGTTTTTAATCGACAATCTCAAGGAGCTCTTTATTGTCTCACTCTGACACTTCCTCTTTTTCTCTGTTCGCTCACGAGGGGTGCGCTGATTGAAAGCAATACCAAGCACCACAACCTCAATAACCTTAAAGAACCCAATTAAAGTACATTTCAAGAGCAAATTTTCATTATGTCGTAAGTAACATTCGCACCAATTCGAGAAAAATAAAGTTTTGTTTTGATGACCGAAAAGTTATTCCTATTTCCAAGTAAACACATATAATCTCATAGTGATAGCAATGTTTAACATATTTAGCAGGGTTTTAATCATACAAATGCAAATCGCTAGCTTTCATGCTAAAAATACTGGTTTTTGAGTCAAAAATTATTATACGTCGTTTGGTGGCCCCTATTGTTACTTAAGTCAAAGTGTATTTACCAGGATATTCGGGAGAATTATCAATTACGTCTCCTTACGTGCAGCCCATTCATCATTTTAGGACTACCGAAATCATCTTAGCAACAAACAGTTCGATTTATTCACTTTAATAATGAGAAAGCGAAACGACGAACGTACACTTTTCACGGGTTTCTCAGCGCTGTTACTTAAGTCAAACGGCATCTCCATAGAAATTGGGTGACTTAAGTAACATCGAAAACTATTTTGATCGGAAGGTGATTACGCCAAAAAGCAATTTGACTGGCAAATAAATTTAAAAATAGGATTTGATCCTATATTCGGACAGTATATAGTGTAATAGCAGGAGAATCGATTGACACTGATAGCTCGACTTTGTTTACCTTTGTTACATTCGACGTAATGAAAATTTGCTCTTGATTTATTAAATTTTCAATACTTTTAATTACATTAATTACGGATAGATAATTTTAATTACCGTTCGATTGCGCCCAAATTGTTCATGGGGTCTTTTTTCGAGCCAGTAAACATTTTGCATGCGATCCGTTTGTAAATTTCACGATGACCGTTTTTATTGGCACCCTAATCTAGGTGTACGAGAAGAGAAAGTCAACAAAAAATATATCACTGCCTATGTAACTCTTCCAATATTGTGATATAAATATTCTGAACGTATCCTTCCAGGTCCGACGGTGCCTATCCAAAGAAAGCCCAAACGCAGGACACCAAATGCAAAAGAATCATTCCACCCACAATCCACTAAGTTTAGAAAATGACGGAAAACTCCACCCTAGTCAGTAAGAAACCACAACAGAATGGAACCGGTGCCGCCAACCACAGCTACGGTGCAATCGACGACATAACCACAGACTACACCCACACTCCGACGGCCACCGGACACGACGACGGTGGAGGCGAACCGAACGGTGGACCATCGATACCCTCCGACCACCAACCGGTACATCCAATGGAGAAACGCTCGACGCTCCGGATAGTGGAGAAGATTGGCTTCGGTCTGGGCCACGTGTACAATGATCTCTGCGCGGGTGTGTGGTTCAGTTACACGCTTCTATTCATGCAAGGTGCCCTGGGAATGCCGGCTGCCGAAGCCGGTGCTCTGGTCATGCTGGGACAGGTTGGCGATGCCATTGCGACGCCGATCGTTGGATTTCTCACCGACAAGTACGGCACCAAGCGGCATTGGCACATAGCAGGTATGTTTGGTCTTGTGTTGCGCGACTCTTGTGATTGAATGTAATCCTATATTCCCAGGAACCTTCATCGTGTTCCTGACCTTTCCGATGATCTTCTCGCTGTGTCCGTGGTGCAACGTGGCGCCGCACTGGTGGGAAATCATGTATTTCATCATTGTGATATTGCTGTTCCAGTTCGGGTGGCCAATCGTCCAGATTACCCACTTGGCCATGATTCCGGAACTGTCCCGGTCGCAGAAGGATCGCTCGGACCTGACGGCGGTTCGCTACTCGGTGTCCATCATCTCCAACGTGGTCGTGTACATTGTCACATGGGCAGTGCTTCGAAGTCGTACGAGTGCAGACGCACAGATTGGGCCCGCCGATGCCTATCGATTTCGTGTATGTTCTTTTTAGGGCTCTCGTCATGCGACAATGCGTTAATGCATGTTTGTATTTTTTTTTTTTTTTTGTTTTCTTCATTTCGGCTGAAATAGGATATCTCATTAATACTGAGCCTGGTGGGGGTTTCCATGGCCGTCCTGTTCAACTTTTCGCTGACGTTCAGCAGCTACGAGCATCGGAGGCACACCGCCCTGCAGCATAATGTCATCAAGGGGGGTAAGAAATCGGAGCGGGATCCGGAGAAGCAGACCCTCCTGGACGCGGAACGGAACGCTAATGGGGAGGTGAAAACAGAAATCGCAGCAAACGGCAGCGCTCGCGTGAGCGCCGGAGATGACGACGTAGTGCTGCGAAAGCCGAAGAAGAATTTCTTCAAGTCTCCACTGCTGTACCAGAATGCTCTGCTGTAAGTTTGCTAAAAGTTTCTATTCTGAGCCGATGAACCGCTAAACGCAAATTCGCCCTGTCTTTTCACAGGTACGTCTTCTCGCGTCTTTTCATGACGACCTCTCTAGTCTACATGCCACTTTGGTTGGACGAACGATCATTCCAACCGGACCCCGTCCAGAACAACGCCAGCGTGGAACATCTGGCCACCGTCCCACTAGTCTCCTTCCTGGCCTCCTTTATCGCGTCGCTAGTGCTCAAGTACACCAACAAGTACGTCGGTAACAGCCTGATCTACCTGATCGGATCCGCCATCAGCTTGAGCGTGTGCACGTGGATTGCTCTGAGCACCAGTGCGGCCACATTCAGCACGTTCGAATTGCTCATAATTGCGTCACTTTTTGGCGCAGGCAGTTCTATTACCATGATCAGCAGCCTCTGCATCACGGCGGACATGATCGGCAAGCATGCCGATCAGGGTGGCTTCATCTACTCGGCCGTCACGTTCACCGATAAGCTCATCACCGGCATAGTGGTGGTCGTCATCGAATCCATGTGAGTATCCGGATTTTCTCACGTCCGCGAATCACTCTGATTAATTTGATTTGATTCCATAGGAAATGCACCGATCGCAACGATTGTCCGGATTACTACCGAAGCGTGCTGGCCTATGCTTGTGGGACGGCTGCCGGACTGGGCTGTGTCACGCTGGCAACACTGGCCTGTACCACCCGAAGAACCAGGCGTCAACAACGGCGATAACGGTGCCGAGTTGACTCTTGCAATCTACAGCTGGAGCGATCAGTGATAGGACGTTTCAAAGATATCGCGTATTTCGTATTAATTAGCCAAGACGTTGAGCAAGAATGCATAAGTGTATGATATTATGGCGAAGTAATAAATAAGTATTCTAACCGTTTTTTCATATGATTCCTTCCTCGGAATTTACCAGGTACTTTCAGTAATGCCACAGACAAACAGACATATAACTCGCAAGTTGTTCATCGAACAAGCATTTAATTTAAAAGTAACGTAGTTGGTAGTACCGCCACCTGTGGCGCGCATAGTCAATTCCCTTGCGTTTGACGTTTACACACTACCGCCATCTGTTCAGCGTACTACCCACCACAGTGTACTCAACCAGGTTGTCTACTACCTGGAAAAAACCTGGAAAACCGGGAATTTACAGGGAATTTTACTTTTTCTGGAAAAACCTGGAATATTCAGGGAATTTTAGTTCCACTCAGGGAATTATACCTTCATTTGTAATTCAAAAGAAGTTTTCATTCAGTTTGTCGAAACGTTTCTTAAGGGCACTGAACTTGACAAGCATCTGACAGCTAAGACAACGTGTGCGAACAAGACAAGTTCATTCAGAGAGTCTTGTCACGCTCGCTCTTCGCTGATTTGTATGTGGAGGATCAAAATCGTCGTAAAAAGGAAACAGTCGAAGAAGAGAGACTGGCAACCGTCAAAAGCAAGCATACGAAGCATGTATTGTATAAGAATAAGCATGCCAGACAGCAGGTCTGAGAGCCTACATAGAATTTTTTAGAGAGGGTCGGAGATCTACTGAGAAATGTGTTACGTTTCAGGGTAGTTCGTAAATCTTGAGAACAGAACTACAAACAAATTAAAAGTAATTAATAGAAATTCATAAAAACAAAATCACAAGAGAGGTCGTAGATCTTCAGATCAATGTTCAAAGAAATTTTCAAAACTTCAACCAAGCAAAAATAATTTCAAATCAATTTGTAAAACTATAAGCGAAATTTTGCAAATCTTCAGGGAAATTTGCATAACTTTAGACAAGTCCAAGAATGTACAGTGAAATATAAAGTATTTCACATAAGTTTGGAGATCCTCGAAACATTATTCAACATCAGAAAAGTTCGTAGATCTTCAGAACAAAGCTACAGAACTTTGAAAAAAATTACAGGACTTCTGAAAAAATCACAAGAATCTCAGAAATGTTATTGGATCTTCAGTAAAAATTGCAGAACTTCAGGAAAGTTCGGCAATTTAAAAAAAAATATTTACACTATTTCAGGAAAATTTGTAGATCTTGAGAGAGACATTTAAAACTTCAAGGAAGCTCAAATATTTTCAGATAAATTTTGACAACTTTAGGTAATCTTCAAGGAAATTTTCAAATCTTCAGGGTAACCAGAGAAGAATTAAAAAAACATCAGAGAAGTTTGCAGATCTACTGAGAAATTTATTGAGCCTCAAGTTTTTTATTTTTTTTAGATTTTGGGAATAGAGCTACGGAGCTTAAGACAACTTTACAGAACTTTAAAGATATTTGCAGGAATTTGACAGAAAGTTCACACAAATTGTGAGATCTTCCGAAAAATTCGTTAAATGTCAGAAAACCACCTCAATTCCAAAAACAAATCGCAGCGAAGTACAAAAGTACAATATTTTGCAGAACTCCATGGAAGTCGGAAATAGATAGATCTAAAGACCTTAAGAGAAGTCCGTAGACCTTAAGAGAAGTCTGTAGAACGTCAGAAAGTTCGTACGTTTTTAGAAAAATTTGCAAAACTTCAGCAAAACTAACAGATCTTCGGGAAAGTTCACCGATCTTTAGATCAAGAATCCACAAAGAAATTTAAAGAACTTTAGAAAAATTCGGAGATCTACTGTGAAATTTATTGAACTTCAGGGCAGTTCGTAGATTTTTAGAGCAGAAATACAGTACTTTAGAAAACATTACAGAATTTGAAATAAATTTTAGGAACTTCAGAAAAGTTCAGAGGGTAGATCGTAAATCTACTCAAAAATTAGCAGATGTTTAAATAAATTTTCAGAATTTTACTGCGGTTCTTTGATTTTGAGAGACATTCACAGAACTTCAGGTATGTTCGCTGATCTTAAGAGATATTTGCACAGCTTGAGAAAAAATAGAAAAACTTCAGAATACTTCCTAAAACTTCCGGAAAGCTCAAAAATTTCTAGATAATCTTTTAATTCTTTAAAAAATTGTATAGATGTTCAGATATATTTGCAGATATTCATTGAATCATGAAAATCTGCCGGAAAAATTCCAGAACTTTCGAGAAGTTTGTAGATTATTAGAAATTTTGTGAACATCAGAGATAGTTGTCGATCTTCAAGGATCTTAAATCTTCAGGGATTCAGAAACTTTGTAGATTCTTAGGAAAATTTGCAGAACTTCTGAAGAACACACAGAACTTCAAAGAAATCTGTAGAACTACCGAGAAATTTGCAGATCATCAGGAAAGATTGTTGATCTTTAAAGAAATTTTACCGGAGAACAGAAACAAAACTTCAGGGACGTCAAAAGGTTTGAAGACCTTGCAGAATTGCGTTGTTAACAGACATTTTCAGAACTCAAGGAATCATGTAGATCTAGTGAGAACTTTTCCCACTAGCTTGTCTAAAGTTGGTATCGACATCCTGGCGAAGTTTTGAAATCCATTTTCATCTTCATATCGCAGCTCTTGAAGAACAAGATGAGCCAGATTCCTGCCGGTGTTCCTCCAGAGCAACCATTTCCTACTCCACAAAGTTCACCTTCTCCTTCTCATTTTATTTAAAATAATAAAAGCAAATACGTCTGCCGAAACTAGAGCAATTTTCCGGTAATTCATGATGGAAGTATTTACTTTTGATTCCTGATACAGTTTGTTTGAAATCTGAATTGACAGTTCTTTCGACATGTGCAAGCAGTGTGAACACCAGCAAACAGGGGGGTTCGACAAAGTGTGTCGAAAGTAAATTTGAGCAGATTTTTCATTATGGCGGCGGCCAAAATCAGATAGTCTAAACGGACCTTAAGAGATTGTAGACATGTGAAACCATGATTTATTCTGTCTTGATCTTCCAAACAGAGTTAGTAGCCTATTGGTCCCAAGCAAACGATTAACGTACCCTATTCTAGTTGAAATTCTATTACTACACTATGTTTGTTTTGATTCGCTATGAAAGTTTGACAGATAACATCAGGGGTGTGTGGATTCATGCAGAACATGCAGGGGTGAGTGAAATAGCTTGGGACTGCTTGGGACCGTTGTTCTGGTACTGAGTGAGCCAAAAATAATAATGATTTTCTTCGGGACCCAGTGGTCTTAGAGTTACCTCTATGGTTAGACTCAAACATATTATTAAAATTATATTTTGTTTTTGAAAGCATATTGTTATCAAATTTTGATATATCGTTTTTTCGAATAGTATAGACACTGACAGACAGGTTTCTTACTTGTATTTATATTCTTGAATTAAAAAAATACTACACAAATACCAAAAAAGCATGTAATATTGATTGACGTAATGCATGCTACTGTATGAATAACTAATGTGATTGCAAAAACCAAATACAATATTACACCCATGGATATAATTTCTTTTCGCAAATTATGTGTAGGATAAATGCACCAATAGTGGAGGTACTTTAGTGCAATGTGTTCCTATGGTGGCTTATAGAGTCTCCCTAAGCCGCTGTAGAAGTACATTGTACTAACGTACCTCCACTATTGGTGCATTTACTAAACATAAATTGTACAAATTAATATTAAACAACCTATGTGCATCTGTTCTGCTGTAATATTCAATAACTTTTTTGCTGTGCCGAGTTAAAAGTACCAACGCCCAAGTTTGAAGAATCGAAAATATCATAAATCAATAAGTACATAAAAGGGATTCCAGATGGATAAATAGATAAAATAATAATGTGTATAATTTTTATGCACCTGGAATTTTTTTCATCAGACCTGGAAAAACCTGGAAAACTCAGGGAATTTAATTCCTTGGATTGAGTAGAGACCCTGACTCAACAGATTGCGGTGATGTTTAAGCAACGAGGTTTTACAGTGAGAAATATTCAATGTGTTATGTCTGTTTGTCTGTGGTAATGCTATTCAATACAAAGTTCTCCCGTTCACCATTGCAAACAGTCCAGAATGGGAATTTAGCAGGAAAGATGCATGCAGAGCCTGAAATAGAAACTTCAGAAAAAAAACAAAGTGTCTTACAAAGTTATTCCTTAAGGCACAAGCGTAATGGCAACGGAAGCGGAACGGCAGCGGAAAAGTCCGATCTCAGTAAGCTTACTCAAAAGTATTGATAATCATATTGATGCCAATATTGACGAAAAATATATTGATTTTGTAATTGTAATTGTTCAGTGCATAGGCTGTGCCTTCCGCTAAGAAGGCTTATCTAGGGACCAACCCCCTAGTCTATACACCTACTGTCCTTCCCGTTGCACTCGTCAGCTCGTGCGATACTCTAGACACACATGGGTGGTCGTATCCGGGTCCTCCCCTGGGTAGGCTCGTGTCCGTCCAGGTTCTGGTACATTAACTTATCATATGCATGGTAATTATACTTATACACCCTTTGATTATAATGTCGAAAATGATGAAACTAAATAAAGGTTAGCGATCCATATAAGGTGTGTGCTGCGATGGAGTAGTAATTGAAGGAAATGAGGTTCTGATGTGAAGTATAGGTAATTCTAAAATAGGTAAATCAATTAATCATTAGTTGCTAACAGTTACTAATAAATGGGTACGATAAATCACTCATCCATGAGTATTGCCACTCCCACTGAAAAATGGGCAAAACCTTAATCATAAATGGATATTCGATTCCTACCGTGTATTTAAAGTTAAGTTAGGATCTTATCAAGCAAGCACACACCTTTTACGATTCTTATCCTACTTACGGTTTCCTGCACATACGACTTTTCCTAGATACAAGCTTCGTCCAGTATACATTGGCTGTCTCCAAACGGCATGATCCTTTCTGTCTGCTTCCTCTTGCCGGTGCAAGTTTAAATCTTCTTTTCTTGTTCGAATTTTCTTGTTACTTTTCTTCTAATGAACTTCTGGTCGTGTTCCCATTTGTCCTCAGGCAGTTAATATTAGTACATGATAGGAAGAAAGAAAGAAA